CAGTCACACTGTTCTACGCAATTACGTTTCATGTAATTTTTCACAAATGTTTATACATTACGTAAATGGAAAGAATTATTTTGGATATTATTTTATATATTATTAAAAGAAAATATTTGAAGTATCATTTTCATTAACAATTACCGGATATTACCAAAGGATTATTCATGTGTTATTCGCAAACAGTAGCTTCTTAGAACTCTGATGCAATCCGATGATTTTTAATTATTTAAATATCATTCCGTCCGCCGGCCACGTAATCGCGAGACCTTCTACTCGAGCATAATACGCGTTGTCATCAATTAATTCTCTTCGATTTAAATATTTCCAAATTACGCAATTTTTTTATAATTCATTTTACAGAACGGCTGCGGCTTTTATATGAGGCTCTTTTACAGGCTTATGAGAAATAATTTTACGCATGATATATCCGAAAAAAATCAATCCTTAATTCGAATTTCCAAGTATACGACGAACCGCTGCGTTTTACTTAATGCGAATAACTTGCGCGCAGCTCCGGCGATCTCGCGATATCAACCTTGCGACCGCGTACTTTCAGGATCACTTATGCTGTCTTACCAGTTAAGTCGACCAACGTAACAACATGTCATTGGTTTCCTGCTACGCTTTCTTCCCGTCGGCCATTTCACCGTCAATATATATATATATATATATATACATATATATTGTATATACATATACACACATATACATATATGTATATACTATCGTACGAAAGTTCACGTGCAATAGAGCAAATGGGTATTCGCGACATTCATGCATGCAATCGCGTGCGTGCCACACGTGCGGGGGACAGAAGCATCCGTCTGTGCGCGCGGCTAGACGTACCGTTATCGGGGATCGTCACTGACAATGAAACGCACCTGCGACCTCCCATATATGTATACATAGAGATACATATATGATAATTCACATTCTTACAATTGTACAACATCGTGGAATATAATATTTACATGATAATTCATATTTGCTTTAGAATTGCATTGTACAAAGTCAAGGAGAAGTAGTCGAATCTCTATACAAATTGACTTAATAGTTGGAAATTTTTACCTCCGTGTGATTGAAACCACCGTGAGGAGCAGAAAATTCTTTTTCGCAAAAATCGTGACAATAACAAGGAATAATATACAATTTTATACGGCAGAGATAAATTAACTGGTTAGCTTGCGGCTAACTTTAACCTCGGAGAAATTTATTGTCTGCAAGCAATTCTTTCACCGCGTCAATAATCAATATAATATTAAATCTGTTATCAGGAATGATAACGCGGTTGTACATTCGTCCTTTCTTTATTTGTATTAGTTTCAAAATTTTTACAAGATTGTAAAACAAATGTCAAATATTTGTCGTCTAATTTATTAATTGGTTTCTATTGTAAAGAAACTTCTATCTTTTTTTTTATCGAAAATAAAAAACCGGCGAGACGTACGTGAATATTTAATCACATCTAAAAGGTTTTTCTTATTGGCAAACTATTAAAGTGGTTTTATCGCTCAATGCCAACTCGATAGTGTGACGTTGTCATATAATCGCGTACGTACAGTCTATGCAAAATGTTTTTATTGAATTAATTAGTCATATGGAGAGACTAACCTTTGACTGGGACTCGCGCGACAAAACCACTTTAATTATTGATAACAATAAAAACCTAACAAGATTCCCCGAATTAAAAATACAATAAGTAAGTAAGTCAATTTTCTCCTTTTTTTACACCGATTTAAATTTGAGGACATGATACAGCCCTTCAACTGCACGGACAGCTATTGGAGATATTTATAACTGCTTCCTCACTCACTAGATGTGGAAGAACACACGCATTAAGAAATTAAGAGCGAGAGTTAAATGTAACTATTGTAAATTGTCACTGAAGATGGCTAAAAAAGATAGTCAAAACGTTTGACTTTTAGAATAAATTTTATGTAAATTAAATACTGCGTACCAATAACCACGCCGATTCCCATCTACCTTACTTACTTATTGTATTTTTAATTATTGATATTTTCACCTAATGGCGTCTTATTATTTTCACTGTTTTTTTTATCCAACACGGAAATTAAAAAAGGATTTATTCATTTTCTTTCTTCACGTGATAATTACGTAAATAAAAATGGCACATATGTTCCTAAATCTACTACAAGTAAATTTTTCCGCATTAATTTGTTTTTTTTCCAAGAAGCGATTCTTACTCGACATGGACTCTTCACGAAAGTAAAAGTGACCGCGATTACACATGCCAGCTTTATGGGTTCTACACTGTGTAACAATTAGTACAAACAGAAGTGTGAAATGTGAAATCCGAACGAAGCAAAGCAGCTTGCGTAGCCGAGATTCGACGATAACACAGAATGAGAAGAAACGGCAAAAAGCAATTGTCCCTTTAATCCCATCTCGATTATTTGATACAAAAATAAACTTGTGTTACGCAATAAACTGCAAAACTTTTTACGAAAGGGAAACAAAATGATTTTCTCTGATCACAATTCCGTGTTATAAGTTCAGAGGCAGATAAGAGCAGTAGAAGAGTTATATAGTAAGTCTGACAGTCAATTGTTTGCGCCACAAAACACGTCATGAAATAAGCAGCGTAACAATAATTTATTAACTGGAAAAAATTGACTGCTTATTCACGGATCACCAGTAATAAGTTACGGAGTGAAAGAGAAACAAATTCAATAGCATCGTAATGGTATCATTATTCGTAACATACTACTACATCTACGATCAGTGCAGATTACTTCCGTGAATTATGTCTTATATCCATTGCCACTAATCGCGCTTTCGCGACGAGCGCGGATTTTACGCGGAAAGAAAAAAGAAAAACGGCGACATAATTATTGGTGAAAAAAAAATCAATTATTATTATTTATTATTATTTTCCAAAATAAATAACGACGATGGCGATCTTTTATAAATTCCCGTCCTTTCTTTCTCTCGATCCGTTTCATTCTCGGAGAAGAGAGTTTGTAAGAGTAATACATTTTAATATCGGAGTTGCAGCGCGGATCGAGGCACTGGCGTAATGTGAAACATTTTGTTTTCTTTAGTACTTTCACTAGCAGCTGCGTAAGAAGATATTTGCATTCCGTACCCACAAAAACCGCTACATTCAAATAACTATAATGATATTGTTTTAGTCGATTTCCGCGAGAAATTGAAGTTAGACCTAAAAAGTTTGTAGCAAACACGTTAAAAACGGGACTATTTTAGCTGAATTTCCGTTCACGCCAAGTGAATTATTTTTATAGCAAGAAGATTAATGAAATACGCGCGCGGCATTGAATTTTTATAATAGTACAATAAATAAAAATGTTCATTCTTTTTGTTTACCAGCACTTTATTGTGCTTTTTTTTTACTAAATACAGGAATGATAAATGTTTTTTCTCTTCTCCGTCAATGGCCGTCCACTCCGTTGAGAAACGATACAGTTAACCTTCCACGTGGAGACTTCGACAAAAAGATAAGATTACCAAATACGAAATTAATTTGGAAAAAAGGTGAAACTGGATACAGGAATACGAAGCACTGCAGGTGTTTAACGCACCCGGCAGGTTTCGTTCAAAAAATTTTATAATGATATAACACTCGGTGCACGTTTGTCCCGCTCGAATCATCAAACCAAGCTTATTTTGTAAAATGTAAATGTAACGGTGTGCTGTATATGTTAAATCGTCAGTAATCATATTAAAGAATGTCGGCGACTGACACAGCATAAATAAAAAGGTTAATATAGTTGGTGACCATTCCAACAGTCAAGGTAAATAAAAATTCTTTTTTTTATTTTTTAAATCTAGTTTCAATTTTTTTATGTATTTTAACGGAATTATTATTAATTGCAGTGAAATTTATTGCTTTTTTATTCGTCGTAAATTATGTATATAAATGTATATATATATATATATTTATTTATACATATTTAAAAAATTAAGTGTGTCAAAGGCTTTTAAGAATAAAGATTCAAATAGTAAGGACAAGCGTTATTAAGCCAACGCAGGATGACTTTGCTCATGTATTTATAATCTTAATATTATTCAAAATACACAAAAGATATACATAAAAGATTAATTTACTAAGAACTAGGATCGAAACATCAGAGTTCTTAGTAAATTAATGTATATCTTTTGTGTATATTTTGAATAATATTAAGATTATAAATATATGAGTAAAATCATCCTGCGTTGGCTCATTAACGCTTGTCCTTACTATTTGAATATTTATACATATATTTATTCATATATATACATATTTATATATATATTCATATAATTATATATCTATGTACGTTAATGTATATGTGGTAAAAGTTAAGAAAGAGAAATTGCTCTCTGATAACGAATTCCTTTCGTTTATTTTATTATTTCATTTTTAGAAAGAAAGTTTGATACAAATACTACTACCAAACAAGTATTTTTTCTTGCGTTCACTAATAAACGTTTTCTCCGCATCTTTTTTTCTTTCTTCATATTAACTTACATTTACACGCGCATGTGCAAGTGCATGTACAAATTTTTCGCGAATGTCAATGCCTACATCTTTGCAGATAGTAATCGTAGCATGACTTACAGAGGAAGTGAAATCCCTGTCGTAATCGCGAAGCTCGTTAAATCTGTATCAAACAAAATCGGGAAAACTATTTTCATTTCTCTTAATGATGCGCAAGTGCCGCCGCGGTGCTCGCAAAACTGCAGGCGCGGGGAGCTAAGAATTCTCGCGCGTTATATGAAACCCCATTTCACTTTCATTCAGGAAATATTAACTCGCAGTAGTAGTTAGCGTCAGTGGCTACTGGTGACGGCAAAAACTAACACGCGCCGTTGTTTTACGGAATATAATCGCCGATTCCCGTATTGAATTATTTCGCAGACTGCATCTGAAGGTAAATCGGGGAATCTGCAAGAACGGAGCACGGCAGCGTTCCGTGTCTTTCTTTTCTGCAAAAGTAACGGTTCTGCACGGGAATCGCTGCGGCGCGGAGGCTCACCTTTTGAATTTAACTCACGGGATCACGTGACAATAGGATTCACTAGTTCATCCTAGGTCAATTCGCGCCGTCCACTCGCGCGAACTCACGCGAGATCCTGGGATTGTGGTTGTCTTCTCTCTTCTTGCAAGAAGATCGCGCGAGACGCACAGGAAGATTACGACGCGCGGCACGATTCGATTTTCGTATTGGCGACAATCTCCGTTTCGCGGATGGGACGACGTAAAGAAAGAAAGAAGCGTTGTGAAAAAAGAAAGGAACCGGACCCGTCACCGATCTCCACACTGGCCGATATATGTATACTCGAGAGGGTATTTTCGCCGATCCACCTGCGAGATGACTTTCGATCTCGCAGTGATCGTTCTCACGTGATCCAATGCTCCCAAAGAACTGAACGACCGCGATCGCGATCGTTTGGAGTATGTCCGAAGTGCTTCCCACTTTCGGGGTCGAACAAGTGCAAGAAGTGGGGTACTAAAACATTAGAATACCGCTGTTGCAATCACGGCGTTGGTGGGGTCTCCTTCGGAATGACCAAGGGGAACTGCATCGGTCCAGGTTCTTCCTCTCCTCCCTTCTTCGCGAGCCAATGACAGCTGCTGTTGCGTCACTCAAGAATTAAGAAAGTTGTATAATGCAATTCGCACGATTATCCCCAGATGGTCTTATCCAGTTCATGTGTGCACCCCTTCGCGGCACGATTACGTTTACGTTATATCCTTCTGTAAACGGAAAAGAGAAAATGAGAGAGAAACACTCTTCTATAATCTGGTATCTCTCTGGAGTATCTCTCTCTCTCTCTCTCTCTCTCCCTCTCCCATCAAGAAATTTACAATTTTGTTTTTAATTTGCAGATCTTGGAATTTAAAATCCAAAAGATTTATGACATTAAATTATAGAGTATACTTTGATATGAATTTTAGTAAAATTGCTACTTCATAGCTCTAATTTAAAATTTTTCAAATTCAATTTTGTCAAACTTATTAAAATCTTTTATCTTTAAAATATCAAATTATTTTAAAAATCAGAGAATGTGATTTGCGAATATATTTAATTACTTATTTTCTTAGGTGAAAAATTACATCTTTAATCATAAAAATTCAGTTAAATTTTTATTAATAAACAACTTTATAATTGCCACATACAAACAAGTCACATGCTTCTGCGTCTTTTTAACTTTTTACTATAATTGCACATTATATTAAAAATAATTCTGAAAATTTCAAATATGTCTTGCGCACCTTTGCTTCAGCAAGGGAAATTTTGTCTTCAAAGTATACAAAAACTTGTGCTTAGAGACGAAAAATTATAATCGTAAAATTATAACGTTTTTAAAAGAAAACTGAATTTTAAAGAGTACACACATTTTTTTCTAACAAGAAAACTCTGTTAAATTTTTCTTTTCCGCATACCTCATATTAATCGCCGCATCGATCGTGCATAATCGCGGAAATCAAAGTGCAATATTATATAATATAATGAGATTAAGAACCCTTATAATGCGATATATCAGAATGAGGAAAGTGAAAAAAGACCATTTCCGGAATATTGTACAACAGAAAATTTGCGGTTTGCATTTCTCTTAATCATAGCTAGCACATCCGAGAGAAAGACATAATTATAGCTTCGACTATGAGCATGCAACTATGTTGCCACCTAAGCCTGCCCATGTGAACACAATCGACCAGTATAATCGTAATCGGTGATTTTTTTACAATAGCATTGTAGATCGCTACGATAATTTTTTCTTTTTTTTTCTATTTTATATAAGTATTTTCTTAAGTATTCTTTGAAAAAATACGCACGTATAATAATATAAGTATACAATAACAGGAAACGCACATTATTTCTTTAGAAAAATAAAGATTAATTGAAAATGTTTTTTCCGCAATATCATAAATTTAAGTTCTGATTCGTGAGAATTTTATTCAATTAGCTATTTTTATTAATTCAGTTCATACAGCCGGCCCGTATCTTCGATCAAATTATATGCAGTGTACAATAACATTACACAAAGTTCATTTGGCTTTAGAAAGTTTTTTTAAAATTGTTGCTGCTTCAAAATCTGCCGATGCGAAATGTTTTTAATTAACAAGTAGCACAAGGTAAAAATAAGTCATGTAATGAGAAATACATTGTTGCATTAATGTTTACATAGATATGAAGCATTTCGTAATAACTAGTGCTTCCTTGGAAATTAGCTTTAGGAAATTGGAAAGTGAAAAGAGATTTCTATCATCACTAAACTATATGCTGCATCTGTGTGATCTGTCTGATCTTGATTGCAATTTGTAATGTGGCTTAGCAGTATATGATTAGTACAATGCACTTCCATACTGTTAGACATAAAAAACAAAAATCATCAAAAAATGAATATTAAAATTGAGAAATTCGCAATACTCTAATATATTAAATTCAAATATGATATACACATAATATATCATGTAATATTTATACGTCACAATGCATCAATCCGATCAATTATCTTATTATGTTGAAAATTGCGCGACAATCTGCGTTGTGAAAAATTATTTACAAATTTGCAGAAATATTTTTTGATTTATCGTGTGTTAAATTATTGCGGAGAAATCTTATAAAATTTTGTTCTCTTGAATTTGTTTGCGAAAAGCAATCGTATATCTGATAATGCACAATTCCCGTAGGATAGACAATGACCTCGAACTTAACGAAGTAAAAAGTTGCACGCGAATATTTTATTTGCACAATCTAGTAACGTTAATAGCTTGAAAAGTTTCAGAAAACGATTCTTCGCGACGAATTTCGTGAAAATAAAATTTCTCCAAAATTGGCTGGATAAGTTCAATCGTTGAAACATTGAAATAGAAAAATACGCACAATAATCAATTTTAAATTGACACGTTGTGACATCATGTGTAATTTTGCATATTGCATCGCCATCGTGATCCGCTTATATTTTCCGAGAACGCGAATCGCCCGCGCCGGCGCGCGCAAAGACCTTCAATGCGATACCGTCGCGCCGGAGAAAGGGTAGGAGAAAGAATCAGGCGAGTGTGCTATTAAGGCCAAGAGAGAAATCGCGAGTGTATCGCAGTGCATCGCGTAGAGAGAAAAAAAAGGAAAGAAGCTACCGATCGAGTGCACCAGGATTCCGAGGGAGAACGAACCGATCGTTCGCCGTTCCTCAAGGTCGTTCGCACCGTGCACCTAGCGATTATATCATCGCCATTAAATGGCGAATCGTCGTTCAATCTGCATTATGTTTCTGCAGCGACGATCGTCAGAGGTATCAAAGCACCATCAAACGCTCTTCGACGGTAGATTTAACGATTTACGACGTAATCGTGCCGACTTTGTTGCCGTAAGCCGATTTTACTTATTGTTATTAGCTATTCGTTGCGTCTGCGAATTATGATTTTACTTACCAATCGGAAACAATAATGACTTGCATTATTAAATAATTTACATTATGCAAAAGTTTTTATAATAAAAAATTGAATTCAAACGTCATATTGCAAGGTGAGAAGACTTCATAATTTCATTTGCAAAGCATCTTAGAAATAATATCGCCAATTAAGTGTACAATAACAGGAAACGCACATTATTTCTTTAGAAAAATAAAGATTATCAAGTGCACGTTATCGAGTTTTGAGTATTAAATTCTTCGCATAAAACATTTTTTAAACGTATCAAATATTTGAAATATTGAAATATTTTTTACGTATCAAATATTTCAAGCAACTATCTCAACTGTTTTGAAAGAACAATGGTATTTAAAATATTTTATTCTTAAGCACTGAAAAAAGAATCTGGCTGCATTAACTGGAAATCTGACCAGTATGTTCGAAAATCGATGAATCAGAATTCTTGTAGGATTTACTAGGACAAATATAATTATTCTTTCCTGTTTCTTGCTGATCGAATAATTTTTTTCCTGTTAAATATACCATTTCTTGTTATGTAATCGAGTATATTAATACACTTTTAGCACTATATTTAACTTCCAGGAATTATCAGGTTCTTGAATTAATTTTGGTACAAAACTAAAAACTATACTGTCAAAATATATCTTTCATCTTCAATCTACTCTTGGCGATTGTTGAATAAATATCATAATGTTGCATGTTTTATTCTCTTCTATGTGATTTTTAAATACAAAAATTGAACTCCGCCGTATCCATCTCGCGACCCTGCAGTGTACTGCTTCAACTTGCGGGGAAACACTTGAGTATAAGAAATATTTTATAGAGATATTTTATATTTAACTAGATATAAGTCTGTCAAAAGTTTTCTAGTTATAAAATACCAAATCCTATTATTATAATCAGAAATTCTGTTTGATTTTACTAAAATTCATTTAATTCTAAATATACACACTGGAGTCCCGGGGCCCCAGTGAAACTTTCTCGGTTTGGCATTTTTTAAATTGGAGGGGTTTCAAATATTGACGTAAAAAAAAATTTGAAATCTCCTCAGTAGGAAGACGTGTTGACGCGCGGCAATTATCGCTCAACAATCGAGCAGTGAACAGTTGAAGTGAGCATGAGGTCCTCCGGACTACTTGCCAGTTTTGTTAAAAAATTAAAATATTGGATTGTCAAATTTTTTTGTTTCAAGTATACCTTTTCAGAATTTTCAAGGATTTTTTCAAATTGGTCTATAAACAAAAGATATATGGTTTTTTGAAAAAAAGCTAAATCGAGATTTTTCGCGTTTTTGAACTTTCCTTTTTTTTTTGAACCCGTATATCTTGGAGCTCTTTAATTCTATCGACTTTTAAACTTCATACGCTTGTTTCTTGATCGATTCTCTATCAATTGAAAAAAAAATTAATTAAAATATGTCCATTTTATTAGAGTTCCATTTTATTACAGTAATAAATATGGATGAGGTCCCCGGGATCCCAGTATACGACGTCGTCAAAGAAACAATGTGTATATCTAGGGTTAAACATATACCATCTTGATATAATCAAACTATTTTTTTTTTTCAGTGAAAATTTTGCAAGAAGTATAATTACCTCTAATAGCATAAATTTGTAATTTTTGTTAGAGATAGATAATGCCGCAAAAAAATTCTATATCAAAGCGAACAATGAAAAATAAAAATATCTTATCTGTACTAGAAGCGTACAATCTTTTATATATACAGAGAAATCATTTTTATTCATCAATAATCATAGATTAATTAACTTAGACATGCCAATTACTTGGCTAGATTCCAATTACCCGGTTTATTAATTTCCGAGAATAAGAAAGTGCATTAACACTGCGCTAAATGCGCTAATGCCATTTGTCATTTAATTAAGCAATCGCATGATGCAACGGTTATTGATTCATTATAATGTCTTTAACGATAGGTATAAATTGCATATATAATATGAGTCACTGGGTATTGCAGCAACGTATCGAA